AATAACGAAAGACGAGGAAGCGTTGAAGAAGAAAAACGGTATTGCTAAATATTTTTATATTCTGCAACTTTATGTTTTTATTGATTAAATTTAGAACTTATTATTCATTTATTCTATCTAGGAAAAAAATATTTGGATAAAAAATCTCATAGATTCTTTATGCTCATTTTAAGGAGTATATAATCCTTTTAATTTTTAAACATAAAACAATATTATTAATAATTTTTATACTATTTAAAAAAAATGTGTATTGACTGATATAGGTAAACGAGCGGAGGGCGAGTCCAGAAACTATTATTATTTTTATTATAAGTGAGAAGATCTTAACTTTAAAATAGGACTATGATTCTACCCTTTTCCTAATTTAAATATTATTAAAGAAATAATCAATAAAATATTACTTAAATATTACTTATATGGTATTAATCCATTATGTTTCTAGGTAGGATTAATTAAAGAAATATTTAATTCATTTTTTTTTCTAAAATAGTGTTCGGTAGATGAAGTGTTTCGTAACAACAAAAGACAGTAAATTATATTCAAAATATCCTTTAACATTAAAGAACAAAAATGTCTTTTGAATTACCATACATCTTAATATGACACATATTTAGATTTTAGTAAGAAACTTTACATATTCCCAACTTTAAACAATATAATTCTCATAGATGTTATGTATATCATCAATTTTTAAATGACTTTTACAATTCCAAACTTTTAACTATAAATACCAAAAATTTATCTTCAAAATCACTTTATATTAATGCATACACTTAGTTATTCCGATGTATAATTGTTGATGAATGATTATTGGTGGATGTAATTACACTGACACATTGTTCAACACAATTACTTTTTGTTGATGCATGAATGTAATTGTTCATCACATATGCAATAAAAAAGAGATAGATCTGTTTATGCTTTTGTTAGTTATTGAGAAAGTTCCTCTATTCTTATAAACTAGAATTATTTCTCTCTTTGATTTTTGTTATTTAAAAGTTTTAGAATTTATTAGTTATTTTATTGTTTTTAGTCTACTCTATTTCATTTTATTTTTAAATTCATTAGCTAATTTGGTATTACACACTCTCTCTCTCTTTTGATTACTTAATTTTATGAATAACTATTTATATATATTGTAACTGTATTTAAATAATTTACCAATATTTATACTAAGTAGCTGTCACGACCCAAAACGTGTCGTGAGTGGCACCCACACTTACCCTCCTATGTGAGCGAACCAACCAATCCAAACCCCAACGTGTCAATCATAATAAACAGAAAATAATGCGGAAAACTTAAAACTCAATAATGTAACCAATAAATAACTTATCATTATTCCCAAAATCTGGAAGTCATCATCACAAGAACATCTATCCTCAAATTACTAAGTCTAAGAGTATCTAAGAAGCTAAAATAACTAAACAGCTAGTCCATGCCAGAACCTCAAGGCATTAAGACGTGAAGAAAGAGATCCAGTCCAAGCTAGAAACATTAGCTCACCCTGAAATCTGACGTAATGAAGACTGGCTAGAGTTGCGGTTGAGTTGAAGACGACGGTACGTTTGCTGCACTCCACAATTAACAAAAAGAAAACATACAAGTAGGGGTCAGTACAAAACACAAGTACTGAGTAGATATCATCGGCCAACTCAAAATAGAAAGCAATATATATCAGATAATATCATAACATCAACTACAATGCTCAACAGGTAGCAACAACAAGTACAAGAATCATTGATAAATAACGCCAAGTACACCCATGAGGACTCAAGCCTCCATACCATACTCATTTGGGAAATAGGTTCATTAAATCTGAGTATATTAGCATAATTCAAGATTCATTCTCTTTACTATCCTGGTGTCGGAACGTGACACTCCGATCCTCCTCATACTATCCTGGTGTCGGAACGTGACACCCGATCCACTACTACTATCCTGGTGTCGGAACGTGACACCCGATCCATTAATACTATCCTGGTGCCGGAACGTGACACCCGATCCATTAATACTATCCTGGTGCCGGAACGTGACACCCGATCCATTAATACTATCCTGGTGCCGGAACATGACACCCGATCCATTAATACTATCCTGGTGCCGGAACGTGACACCTGATCCATTAATACTATCCTGGTGCCGGAACGTGACACCCGATCCATTAATACTATCCTTGTGTCGGAACGTGACACCCGATCCACTAACCTCATTCTTTTGATTCATCAAGCCTTCTTTTATACCAAGGCATCATCATTAACAAAGAGGTTCTTAAGGTTTAAGATTCAACAGCCTCATCATGCTAATTCATCACAATTACATAATCACATCATGCAAGCACACAATTATATAAGAGACTTTACAATACTACCCAACACATATCATTCGCTATTAAGAGTTTACTATGGAACTACCTCCACCGAAGAATTAGTGATCAAGAAATCTACTTTTCCAAAGCTTTACTTTCTTCTTCATTTCTCCTCTCTCTCGTTCGTTCGTTCTCCCCCTCCTTGTTCTTTCTATTTTTCTTATTCAAACCCTTTTTCCTTTACCCTAATTAGCATATAATTAAGTATAAAAGATGACAAAAGTAACCCACTAATTAATTCAAGGTTATCTCCTTTAACCCCCAAGAAATTGAATTATTAACATTAAACCACTAACTTCATAATTATAAGCAGGAATAGTCCAAAACGCCCCTTAAAACATTTAATAGAAATCCGACCTAGACAGGGTTACGCAGACTGTGACGGCCCGTCGTGCCTGCGACGGTCCATCCTTCTGCTTCCGTCACAAAGTTCAGAGACTCAATTCCTTGAAGAGTCTGTGACGGTCCGTCATGCCTGTGACGGTCCGTCATGCCTGTGACGGTCCGTCATGCCTGTGACGATCTGTCCTGCCATTTCGTCGCGAAGTTCAGAGAGTCGATCTCAGTACCCAAATTTCAGAATTCTAAGTGTTTTGGAACGAGACACCCTCGACGGTCTGTCGTGCTCATGACGGTCCGTCGTGGGATCCGTTGACTCAGACAATTATTACCAGAAATACTCTACTTCTCAAAATGACTAAACAGGTCGTTACAGTAGCATGCAATACAAATATATTTTCTATTCTGAAATTCAATTTTTTAAGTATGCATATATTTTTTATAGTAATTACAAGGAATAAACGTGCAACGCACGTTTTCAAAATCTAATATTTATATAAGAGCAACCAATATTTGTGAAAATAATCACTTATTTTTTGTATTGGGGCAACCACCATATAGTCTTTAAAATACTTATGAGATGCAAAATAAAGTACATTGTTGGGTAGTTCATTTAATTTTAGTAGTGTTTTGTGAAACTTATTTGACAAGACTATTTTTGTATCTTTTTTCACTTGAGTGGATCAATTACACCTATGAAACTTACATAAATATATTATAACAAAAAAATTATTTATCATTTATAATAATATTATTTTTTTCACTTGATCACTTTTAATATATTTATAATATAATTTTAATATTATTATAAAGAATAATTTATTAATTACGTATAATATAAGTTTTATTGATGGATAATATATTTATCACACATTTTAATACACTTATAATACAATGTGTTAATTTATTACCAAACAAGCATAATATATTTTAAAAATAGTTATAATCCATATATATTGCATAATATATTTAAAAAATAGTTATAATCCATATATATTGCGGAAATAATATGTATTGCTATAAATAACAATAATTAAAAAATTTCACTAATATCAATAATTTTTTATTAAAAGGTACTTATCCAACTAATTTTTTATTCATAGGGTATTTCTTTTAAGTACTCACATAGAGTGGTTTTTCATATCTATACCTATTATACCCATATATGGATGACCAGTTTTAAATTCGTAAAATTAGTATGATCAGCTTTTACCAATAAATTTAATACATAGAATTTAGTATCCTTAAATTTATTTTAGTCTATTATACCACTTTGAAATGAGTTTCTATGCGTATATCATACACAAATTTTGTTCACATCACATACCACGTATAAGTATAACTTGTTCTTTCCCTGAGATTTTAGATTGTTGAAACCTACATAAACACACAGACGTACACACACATGACATATCACAGTGGAAGGATGTCACCAAAGTTTAATATTATAATGACGTATAAAAACGTATGATTACTCTTGACAGGTTATAAAGAGAAATCATTATCAAGTTTTACTATAAAAGATGAAGATAAGACTCTATTCAGCAAAAGGAAACACTAACACACACACAAAAAAAAAAAAAAAGGCGGAGGGAAGCTTACGGGATTGGGGGAGACCAAAAGAATCAACAACAATGAAGTCAACGACAAAACAAGTCCGCAAAAGGCCTCAACAATTCTAAAATGGAGAAGTGCTAGAATTGTGGAAAGAAAGGACATTATGCTAGAGAGTGCTGAGGTTTTGACCAAACTAAGTCATAATATAAAGCAATTCACCAAAATAATATGTTTTTCTAAAGCTTTACAAAACTAGTATAAATATATTTTACAGTAACGTTTTAGGGTATATTTTACTTTTTTATAGCTGACGGCGTTAGATTGATTCACGTAACTCAAAGTAACGTTTTACTCCTAAAATATCAGTGTGATTAACGTTTTAGGAGTAAAACGTTACTCAAAATGATGTTTTAGGAGTAAAATGTTACTTATAGTAATATATATAAATCTAGTTTTTTAAAAATCTAGTTAATTATATTCTGCAATTTACTCGAGAATCCAATTCCTCAGCATTGTAGGCTAGTTAAGTGGTATCTTAAATAACCCAAGACAAAAGTCATTTTGCAACCACCCAAAAAGATGACTTGAGTTCTCCGTTCCTTCCATTAGAACGACTCGGGGAGTCAAATATCTCATTATCATGGAAGTAAATGTTCAACAAGTTAAAAGTTACACGTTTCACTTTAAAGGGTGTCCTATAAGTTTCAAAGGGTGAGTATCCTATGTCTTTGTCCCCCATTAAGAAAAAAATGGTGTGATAAAGAAAAGTAAATTATGTGGACAAAATGATCTCTTAGCCTAAGAAATAAGAATAACATAAGCAGAGACATTAAATCTTTTACTCATTCCAGCAAACAAAGAGAAATGGCTTATGCTGCTATCTCTTCACTTGTGTATACATTGGAACAACTCTTCAAACCTAATCAATCGTTCCTTTGTCCATGCTCTACACAACAATATGTTCAATCTCTCTATCAAAATCTTTCTGCTCTGCAACTTTTCCTTGACAATACAACCACAAAGGATATTGAAACTCTTAAGGTATGTAATTAATTAACTAGTATAGTTATCTAAATTGTATACATTTTTTTAAATAATATTTAATTTATCCAGTTTCAATTCCAAGCTTGTAGAAAAGAGGATCAGAGATGTAATATGCAAAGCAGAAGATAAGGTTGATTCAAGTCTAAGAAACATCATTCTAGCAGATTGCGGAGAGAAGAGAGAAGGGGCTGCTAAATTCTTCGAGGAAGAGTTGCTAAAAGTGGAAAAAGATGTTGATTCTCTCAGGAAAGAGGTGATGGTAGTTGAGTTTAGCAAGCATGGAAGAAAATGTGCAGAATTAGCAACAACTCCTTCCTCACCAGAAAAAAGTACAATTGAGGAAAATACTATTGTTGGGATGGAGGATGACTTCAACATCATATTTGATCGCGTCACTGCCCAAACAGACGAGTTAACTGTCATACCAATTTTTGATATGGGCAGTATAGGTAAGACAACTCTTGCTAGAAAAATTTACGATGATTCATATATTCGCTCTCGATTTGATAAACATGCATGGGTCACTATCTCTGAAGAATACAATCAGAGACAAATGCTTCTTGAAGTTGCCTCTTCGATTACCGAAAGCAATCAAGAAATGAGTGATGATCAATTAATGGAGTTTGTGTACAGAGGTCTGAAGGGTAGGAGATTTCTAATTGTCATAGATGATATTTGGAGTACTGAGGCATGGGACCTAATGCAAACAATATGTCCAAATGATGACAATAAAAGCCGAATTCTATTAACTACTCGGCTCAAGTATGTTGCTGATTATGTCAACTGCCCTGATTTTCCGCCTCATAGTAAGTCTTTGCTAAGTCGAGATGATAGTTGGAATCTATTCATCGAAAGACTATTCAAAAAAGATTTGTGTCCTCCTTTACTTGTAGAAATAGGGAAGCACATTGTACAACAATGTCAAGGATTACCTCTCTCGATTGTTGTCGTAGCTGGACTTCTTGGAAAAATGGACTTAACGCATGACAATTGGAAGAAGGTTGAGGAAAATCTGAACTCATTCTTTGGTACGGTATCCGAACGATGCCAATCAATTCTTTCTTTGAGCTACAATTACTTGCCACAATATTTGAAGGCTTGTTTTCTCTATGTTGGAGGTTTTCCAGAAGACAGATGTATTAATGTTTCCAGGTTGATTAGGCTATGGATTGCAGAGCAATTCATAAAGGCAAGAAGCAATAAAAGATTAGAAGTGGTGGCGGAGGAGTATCTACAAGAGTTAATTGACAGAAGTCTAATAATGACCGGAGAACAAAAGGTTAATGGAAGGATGAAATTTTGCAAAATTCGTGATCTTCTTCGCCAATTGTGCCTAAGTGAAGCTGATCATACCGAAAATGTTGTGCATGTCATGAATGGGGATGTTCTCCAACGGAGATATGATCAACATGGAGTGATCTTTCTGTCTAAAGTCAAAGATAAGCATGATGATCGTCCAGTACGTAAAATTGGTACAATCCGTACCTTTATTTCAATTAATATGGGAGAAAACGGGATTTATTCCCGTGTTTCAGAGTTCAAGTTTCTTAAGGTGTTGGATGTATTATCAGTTTGGTTAGATTTCTCTCTGGTAATACCCGAGCTTGTACATTTGAGATATGTTGCTGCAACAATTGGAGATTGTCTTTCATTAGCCAAATTGAGAAATCTACAGACCATAATTCTTCGAAAAACTCCCAGACTTTTAATAAAGAATTCAAGAGAGTTGAAGCAGCCAATAGATATTTGGAGAATGACAGAGATAAGACATGCGAATATTGATTGCCCACTATATATATCAAATCCTCTTGAAACAGAACAACCTTTGTGCCTTCTGTATAACTTGCAAACACTTTATCTCTATAACTCTCCTTTTGTTGCGGAAATCATAACAAGAACTCCCAATCTAAAAAAACTAACGATTTCAGATGATTCTGAGCATTGCAATGTTCTTGATTCTCTCAGTCTTGTACAGGATCTGGAGACACTACACATAAGAACAGTCCGGATGAATTTTTCTGTAGACATTTTCCCTCCTAATCTTAAGAAATTGAGATTATCATACACTAGATTACCATGGGAAATTATGAAATTGCTGGCTAATTTACCGAATCTTGATGTTTGTTTGACGTATCTAAATACTCTGCCCTTCATCTATGCATATACCTTTTTTCTTATTCTATGTATTTGTTTACTAGTCTACATCATGTATGTTGTACGTGTGTATCGTATATATTGTATACGATGTTGTAAAATAGAATTGATATTAATAAATTAATTATTTAAGTAAATAGTTATGATTTAAAGAAAATCAGAAAATTCTTTGAAATGATTAGTTGATATTGTCATTGAGTAACCTGTATTTTGAGATGAAAATGACCACATATCATTGGAACATTTGAAGTATTAATTTTACTTCATTCAATTTTGTAAACAAATATAACCGACAAAATTAAAAAGAACTATCCATACAAAAATTGTTGCCAATAGCCTTTCCTCTTCAGGTTATCAACATAAATGATAGACATCATTTAAGTACATTTTTTTCTTAAATGTTCATACTTGAAATTTAGTATGTGCATGACTGATTGCACGTATCAGGATACTACTTTTAATTCAAGTGCCAACAATCGTGAGGCGTAATATAACCCAACCGAATGAGTTAGGGTCGAGTCTAAAGGAAGCAATTAATCGTCGAGAATCAAATAGACAAGTAGAACTTTGTTCTAATCAATTATAGCTATAAATATTAAAGAATAAAAGCGTACTAAATCAAAAAGTTACACAAATGTCAATTATTAATGGGGGGTTTGTATTCAACTATTAAACAAAAAATAGCAAAAATATGAGGATACAAAATAGGAAGACGGGATTATTGGGATGTGATATGAATATGGGATAAAATAAATGGAAAAGGGTCAAAAATATCCTTGAACTATCTGAAATAACTCACATATACCCTTCAACTATATTTCAGCTCAAATATACCCTTCCCGTTAAACTATAGGGTCAAAAATACCCTTCTCATTAACAGAATCTGTTAAACGACACTTGAATGCCGTGTGGATGCTACATGAAATGCCACATAAGCCAATAGAGTTTCACTCATGACACACTAATAAACTACTGTGGAAGTACACAAATGAGGTTGCATATGATAAGTTGAAAGCCAATTGAGTCACTTTTGGAACATGTGTTTCTCCTGGTGCTACAAAAGCACCAGTTTTCGGAGTTGCCTTCGTAGTTTGGTACTCTTCAATCTTCATACATGCAAAACTGTAAGTGCGAATAGGAATATCAATTCAACGGCATCCACCTGTTGATCATCAACAAAAACTATCACTTCATTACAAAGCTATCTTCATTGGATAAGTTATTAACAACGACTGATTAGGGGTAAGTTTATTAGTCTATGTGTCGTGAGTGAAACCCTATTGGCTTATGTGGCATTTCATGTGGCATCCAAGTGGCGTTTAATAGATTCTGTTAATGGAAAGGATATTTTTGACCCTATAGTTTGGCGGAAAGGGTATATTTGAGTCGAAATGTAGTTAAAGGATATATTTGAGCTATTTCAGATAGTTCAAGGGTATTTTTGACCTTTTTCCGTAAAATAAATAACTAGGTAAATGCTATTGATAGTAAATCGCTGAACATTTGTAACTAAGCTAGACTTTACTGGGAGTAAATTTTCTTTCAAACAATTTACCTCAAATCAACTCGGTTTCTCTCAAACACCGAGTTGCAGCATTTAAGCACAACCTTCACCCTATCTCATTCACTCTCTCGAGCTGAACCCGCGATGACCTAATAACCATAGGCTATCGATTTAGTAGTTTTGGTTTTAAAACCTCTCTCTAGAGCAAGTCAAAAATACGAAGATAAAATCATATTTTCAACTACAATTCCATTAAATTCAAACGCAACTAAACAAAATTACATTTAAATAGAAAATGGACTATCAATGAGCAATACCCAATAATAAATTTAACCCATATTCATAGAATCACACCCAAGAATTTAGGGTTTTAGCTAGACATAAAAAAGAGATCGAAATTGATACCAATAGGTGTTTCCATCAAATGGGTACGATAAATAATGTATTTAAACACGTCAGGGATGAAGATTTTCAAGACCTACTTCCAATTTCTTGGAATTGAAAACCTTCAGAGCTTAAGAGCAATGTTTCCAAAAACTCTAAAACTGAAAAAATGTCTAAAAATTTCTATATTTTGTTCTGAAATTCAATTCTAGATAGATAGCTAACAATTCAAATAAGTATATAGTGTTCAAAGATTTGTGTTATGAAGGTCCACTTGGCGCAGTTAGTCGGGATTGTCGGCACGCTCGGCGATCCGCCCTGTGGTCTGGTTCTTCACCTTTTTTATTTTTGCCTTCAGCGTCTTTGCATTTTGAATCATTAGGCGATATGGTGTTTCTTTCGCGGAATTGTGCAGCAACGCGGAGACTGCTCCTTTTCATTACCAACTTGATATTTTCCTTCAGGGATCAGTAGACTGTTCCATTTTTCTTGATAGCGTCCATGCTTTTTCTCTCAATTCATATAAGTGGAACGTTAGGATTTACATCAGTTATTGAGGCAAAATATGTGTTTGAGAACATTAATTCTATGAAAATATAGCCCTAAATGAGTCCAAATTGTGGACTCATCAATGATAATAATAAGATTTATCATAAATATTTCAATATTTTATCTTTATAAGTAATCTTTCTTTTATAAAATATTAGGATTCAATTAATATTTGATTAAGAATATCACAGAGAGGTAATTTTACAAAAATAAAGAATACATAGTTGTTATAACTAATGATGGTCAAATAGAGGTCTGGGTGTATGTCATATATATATATATATATATATATATATATATATATATATATATATATATATATATATATATATATATATATCATATTTTAATGTTAATATATGAAAAATATAAACTTTGGTGAAAAAAAATTCACTTCTTTAACTTTCAACGTTATCTTTGTAAAATTGTAGTCTTTTCCTTTTTTGCCGCATACAGATAATATAGTTGTTGTGTAATGAAAGTATCTAATATCTTATAAAAGTTGTGTAGTGATATACAAAATATTCTTGATGAATAAAATTTAAAGTATTAATTTATAGAATATTTAATTTGATTTATTAGTATTTCATGTTCATACTTAAAAAATAATCGTTATTTTTTTATATAGCTAGCAAGAAGTGTATCTTGTGACATACCATATTCTCAATTTAAAATGAACACAAAATAACAGAAAAATTCATACTTAAAAAAATCCATACTCAGACTCGATATAAATATAGAAAAGAAAAAATATATAGAACAATACATAGCGAATGAAGAAGGAAGACGAAAATACATGTTCATACTATACTCACTATAGTGTTCATTTGATTAAAATATCTTGTCACCAACACTTTACTTTCTCCTTTTATTTTTTCTTACATATCTATTAAAAATATTATTATCATGACTATATCACCATATTATAAGTAAAAGTGAAATTACATTTTTGAAAAACATCAAAACTAATAATTTAATAGACGACGTTGATGCCCGTTGTTTTAGAAAATTAGAAAGAAACTCCTTCTTTTGAAGGTAAAAGAATAAAAAATAAAAAAAACAAATAAGAAACATCTTACTCAAATCATTTGACTATTTTCATATATTTTTATTAGTACCGTCTTTTACACAACTTTTTGTCACTATTCACTCATGAAAATCAAAAGAAAAAATATGAGTGTAAATTAATGAATGATTTGCTACAATGTCTTCAACAACTCTTTTTTATGGGGTACTTCGAATTTTATTAAATTTTGAATATCAACTGTTGTGAATAACCCTTGATATTTTATAAGAAGAAGAAGAATGAAAACATGAAAAAAAAATCATACTTTAAAAGGGAGAGGAAACTTATCTGTTTATATTTAACAAATAGTAGTATGAATAGGTGTTAATTGTGCCTTATCAAAAAAGTTATAACCTTTCAAAAAGTCACCACATATAAAAAAAAAGTCACAACTAGGAGTGTTCATGGGTTGGTTTGGATCGATTATTGATCAAAACCAAAAACTGAACTAATTTAATTGGTTTTAAAATTATCAAAACCAAACCAAATGTAAGGTACATTTATCGGTTTGATTGTTTTTTTTTTGGTTTGATTTGGTTCGATTTTTAGGTTATTAACCATACATAAAAATAAAAGAAAAATTCATTCAAAACGTGAAAAAAGTGACAATAATCCATTCAAACGAAAAAATAGTTAGAATGAATCCCATTATAGAACTTTCGATCATTGAATTTACTAAATAAAACTTCAAAATTCACTATTATGGTATTAAAAGGAATAGACAATGACATTTTCAGTTCCACAAAGAATTTTGATAGACACTCATATAAATGCAACCAATTAGAAAAATGTTCTCACCTTTGATATTTTTTTTCATAAGTAAATTATAAATAAACTTTGATGAAACATATATAATATCTTTAAAATTGTTTATGAATATTAATATATGTATGTATAATAATAAAATTTATGTATTTTACTTGTTGGTTCAGTTATTTCTTTGATTTTTTCGAACAAAACCATAACCAAATCAAATACTATCGATTCTTAAGAATCTAAAACCAAACCAAATCAAATCGGTTAATTTGATTGGTTTGGTTCGATTTTTCGGTTTGGATCGATTTTCATCCAAACCGTGAACACCCCCTAGTCACAACCCTTTGAAAAAGTTACAACTCATCGAAAAAGGCACAACCGTTTTGAAAAGTCACAACCATTTGAAAAAATCACAATTCTTTTATATAAAAAGGTATCTACTTTTAATATAATTAAAATAATAAATATAATAAACAGAGTATTTCTAATTGAGGGTATTATAATAGTTCAACATTCAAGTTTGGGAGTTCATATTTTTAAGGTAGTATAAATTTATGAAATGTCTATGCATTTTCTACCAAATATATATGAATTTTTTTTCATGTATCCGAGCGTGTTATTCTATGCATATGAGATTTTTCTATCATGATCTAGTATGCTTCCTTTAGTGTATCTAAGATGACTATGTCATGCATATGGTCATACATCAACAAGATCGTTTAGATCACACTTTTATAGAACTATGACAATCACAAATTCAATGTTGGTGCAATTAGCGATAATGAAGACCCACTAAAGCCAAAACGTACATTTATTGATTCAAAAAATCCTTTACTCGACTTCCTGGATTGGGTAGTCGACACACATGCAGATTAGTATGACAGTAAAAGATAAGAGTAAAAGAGACTCAGAAGTTTTGTACTAGCTGAAAACACTGGTATGGTGCCTACGTTCAGTCTCATTGGGTTCCAAAGATTTCCTTAAGAGATTAATGAGAACTTTGGCAGTACATAATGTGTTGACTAATAAACCTCTGATGTGCAAAATCAGATCTTCTACCTTGACACCACCTCTACTTGTATAACCTACATTCAAATTTTCTCCCTCTTTTCTTTTTCAATTGTACGATCACGAGAATACAAAGTTTCATGAGAGAAAATTGAAGATTATAGTACAAGTTCAAGTAAGGTGCGTACTTCAAAACCAAGGCTATGAGAGGTTTACATAGATATCAGGACAACTTTTTTAAGGAAAACTCAAGAGTGTTTTAAACCAAGGAGCTTGATTGAATCTTTAATTTCGATTGATTTGTTGATTCATGTCTATATCACATATGTTCATGAGAAAATCATCCTTCACCTGATGAACTTCTTGAAATCTTTGAATCTTAGCTAATATGTTGATTGATTTTGTCTATCTTTGATTTATCCTAGTCAGCTGCAAGTATTGTGGTTGTCTTGAATTAATTATGTATCCCTTGATTGATTATCGTCCTTGCTTGTATTACTTGAGCGATTACAGATTATTCCTTTACTTCTTGATAATGCTAAGGTGTTGTATGCTTTACTTCTTCCCTCTTTGAATTTTTGGCCTGCAATTCACATATTTGTTCAGTGTTTCATTATCAAAAACAATCGATGAGGCTAACATAAAGGGGTACTCGCAAAGGCAGAGTTAGGTCGGGCTTTCGTGGGTTTGAACAAACTAACTAGCTTTTTGATAAATCATGTATTTGTATCACAAAATTAAATAAAAGTATATGTATATTAACTTTTTACACTATTGTTACAATATTTTTCTCTTTTATCCTCAAACTCATCATCCTGGCTTCATCTCTAAGTACTCGTATTATAGCTACTTTTGTTTTATTTAATAGGTTTCTTGTTGAGTATTGTGTTGTTTGATAATCACTCCTTGCTTATATGCTTGTGTAAGTTTCAATCCCTGATCCGTGTGATTGCAATACTAAAAACTGACAAAAAGAGACGCAGTCCGTCCCCTTTTTTGGCCAAAAGCGACGAAAATAAGACGCATTTATGTCCGTCGATTTTTGGCTCGACACTTTTTCAAAAGCGACGGACAACGTCGCTAAAAAGTGACGGACTACGTCACGTTTTAATCTTATTTTTTTAAAAAATCAAAAGGCGGTGCAATCCGTCACTTTTTGGAAATTTGATATTTGAAAATCCCAGAAAAGCGACGGACAAAAGATCTGTGTCAGTCGCTTATCTAGAAATTTTTTAGACCCTGAAAAAAATGACAGACTAAACTATGCTATCCGTCACTTTTTCTGCAATTTTGTTGACAGCAGAAATTGACAATTCTGTTGCCCACTTGCAAATTCAATTCAATTCAATTTTACACTATTCAGCCCAATCAAACACACACGATTATATAAACAATCTACACAACATAAAACAAGAAACTTAAAATAACATTCAAAAGCATCTAAATAAAAATTTAAAGACTTATAAAGTCTTTCAAAATTACAAAAAAAAATCATAAATGTCTAGAGATCTAATATAGAGTTTTTAAAGCCCAGGCAACATCCTTTGCCGGATGCCACCTACAAAACACATAATAAATATGTTAGTACATGAATAATATATTAAAGTATAAGACAATAATAAAATAAACTAAGAAATAGATAACAAAACAAACTTACGGTGATCCATTCGGTTCAATTATGACTCTACCAAGTCCGTCCTTCTGGTCAGGAACTAGAGGAGGCATCTCATCATCTGGAGTAGCATAAGGTGTAGCTGTAGCTGAGGATGATTCGTAAGAATGCACATAACGCTAAGCCAATGGAGGCGTACATGCCATGGCATCTGAATGCTCGCTACTAGAATCTCTAGTCCTCATGGCAGATAACTGAGGAGATGTACTTGTGGGAGATGGAGTACCGAACGATAAGGGTCATCCTCAATGAATAGTTTGTAAAAGTAGGTCCTCGTAGCGTAATGAAGGCAATGTCTATAAAGTAGAGGAACCACCGACTGATTGACGGTAACTAGGATAATATTGTTGAGGATCCGCCATACTAAATGGAATAAGTATATGTGTATCATCGTTGATGCAGTCTAGCGCAGAAGACATAGATTCTGCAATATCCTCACGATCTATAGGTCTCCTAGACTTCTTCTTTTTGGATTGTTTAGTCAGGCGAACTCCAAGATGCTCACAATGTCTATCACCGTGACCGCTTGATGACATCCGCATGCAAATTTACATGTATAATACATATAAAAATCATAAATTCAATAAAATTAGCAAAATACACTAACCTACATATATATACTAGCTAGCTTTCATTCTACACTATTCCTCCTAACATGTTTCAATTCCATCATTCTTCATTCTTGCTCCTCAGTTTATTCATTTTCATTATCGTCCTATTCTTCTTCATCAAATGATTCATTCTCCTCATTATCAGATACTTTTTCCTCAAAATTCAGTATCTCATCATCAGATACTTCTTCTAATATTGTTGAGGATGTTGTAGTATGGCTTACAATTCAACATCAACTTGCCATTGAACAATCACAACATCATTTTGATACGCTACATCTAATACAATGTCAATATCAATTATTCCCACAAGCTTACTTTTTATAATAATCCACCAGTCAGCTTTGTCTCTACGCAATAGATATGGAGTGTAATACACTTGTTTAGCATTTTTTGCAATGATAAAAGAATCATAATTTCTGCATTTCCTAGTGTGATTAACTTTAATTATATTATGTTGATGGTCCACCTTTGTGCCTCTATGTGATGGGTCAAAGCACTCACATCGAAACAATACAATCTTCTTCTTAGGCCAACTTAAATACCTCACTTCGGTAATCTGATGAATGACACCATAATATTCAACAGTTTGGCTAGTACCGTCAATATCACCTTGTATATAGACACCACTATTATTTGTTTTCTTGTTCCTAGAAACTTCTTCAGTTTCAAACTTAAACTCATTGACACAATACTTATTCATTGCCAGTCCTGAGATTCCGATTTCACTAATTGCAAATGTTTGACACTTGACTATTCATCGTAAATCTACGTGATTGTTATTTCAAGTAATATAATTTAGTATAACATGAATATATTATTAAATACTTAGTGATTGCATAATTACATAGTTGTATAGCCATTTGAAAATTTTTGTCTAAATGGCTTCATTACTCCATGTGTTTGCTAACAAGCAGATCATTTTACATTCAAGTATTTTGTTAGTTAATGAAAACTTATATATTAGTATGTAATACCAGGTGATAACATATTTTTAACACTTACTTGAGATATGGTTGAATCTCTGGACAATTAAGCAAAATATGTGTCACAGTTGATTGCATTTTCATATCAGTGTAGCCTTGCTTTACATGCTTTTTAGATCCTCGATCATTTTGATTAAAAATCGATACAAGTGGAAATGAAAAATCAATATCACTTTTATCATTGCGATTGAGCTTGTTTCTCCTATATGACACATCATCACCAAAGTAATAAGAATAAAAATCACCATTTTTTCTCCCAATATGACCTTGAACAAATGATCCTTCAATCTTTCCCCTTTGCTTAATTGTTTGCTTGGATCTATCAATTTTTTGCATGTATATGTGTATATATTTGATAATTGATAAAAGACTTGGTGAATATATATAACTTAGTGAATATTTCAAATAGATACCTCTCAAATGGATACATCCATCTTGTTTGAAGTGAACCTCCGAGTCAGCCCTCTTGTACAAGGTGAATTGATATATGCTCCGCCACATCAAAGAAACCACATGAAAATATCTTCTCCAACTTAGTGGTAATAACAACAATATATTCTTATATCCGTTCTAAACTATTCTCCAACAATTTTCCAGAACACAAGTCTTTAAAAAAAGACTTACCTCTGTGATTGGTTTCCATATCCTTTCTGGTAGATGACTAAAAGCGATAGGAATTAAAGTTTCCATGAACACATGACAATCATGAAGTTCTATACCTATCAATTTTCCTTCATTTATGATGCTCACTTTCCTAAACTTGAAGCACAGCCCTCCAGCATCATCAAGATCTTAACCCGCTCACAAAATTCACGTTTCTCATTCAATGTGAATGAAAAGTTGACTTTTGGCTTAACTATTCTACCATTAGGTAATTCCTGCAGCCATAATCTTTTCTCCTACAATATTCATTTAAGTACATCCTTTCTTTTGGATAGTCTTTTTTCTTATCCTTAACATTCATCATTGTGTTAAACAAATTATCAAAATAATTTTTTTCAATGTTCATCACATCAAGATATGTTGTAGCAGATTGTCCTTCCAACACCATACCCAGGAAGTCTAGAAGGTGAAGCTTCTGTAACTTTAGGTAATTGAGAAACTTTCTCCCAAATTTGATGCTATGTGATAATGGAGGTGGGGGGGGTCACTTTCAACCTTATTTTTTCTAAATGCATTTTTCATCTGTCTAAAATCATGGTCCATTGTCAAGAACTAGGTATAAAAATTAAACCATGTATTTTTTTACCATACTTTAAAGTGAATGCCTTACTATAACCAAACAACATTCTGTATGCAGGAAAATTTTTAATAGTCCACATTAAAGAAACACATATAGTAAAATTCTGCTTAGTTGATATATCATAAGTCAAAATGCATTCAAACCACAATAGTTTGAGCTCATCTACAGATTATTGTAGATAGACATCAATCAAACTTTTTGAATTATGGGGACCTGGAATAAAACAACTTAAAAAGATGTAGGGACTGGTCATGTACATTTCAGGAGGAAGATTATACGAAATAAGAAATACCAGCAAACATGAATAAGGCAAAACTGCATTACAGAATGGTGTAAACCATCTGAACACAACCCCATTCTAACATTTCTTGGTCCACTAGAAAAATCATGATATACATTATCAAAATGTTTCCATGTTTCACCATCATATGGATGAGACAAGACACCTGGTGACCTTCTATATTCACGATGCCATCTCATATGTGGGTAGATCTCATCGATGCATACAATCTCTTTAACCTAGCAATGAGAGGTAAATAATGCATCGCCTGAATTGGCACCATCTTTTTATTTGGAGTCCTCTCATAACGAGCATGTCCACAAAATTTTTAATTTTTTAATTCACTACCAGTCTTGTAAAACAACATGCAACCATTAATACAACAATGAATTCTATCATACGTCAATCCTAACTTGGACATCAAACGTTTTTCTGATAGAAGTTCTTTGGTATGTTAAACTCCAGATTATATCCGCATTAAGAATATTCCAATCTGACTTAATATTCATTAATTTAACGGCAACTAACAAGGTAGAATGCAGATTCCTTTCACATAGTGGACAACTAGACTCTTCTAATTGATCATAGAAGTGTCTTGCTTCTTCATTGGGAGATTCATCAAAATATTGTTCCGATCCCATCCCCCTTTGAACCCCAAACGCATCATGATCATTTAATGAACCATGTTATATTCAACCCTAACCTGTTCAATCCTTTTGACCATGTGGTGTAACCATATTATATACATCCATAGGCATCGAATTATAAAAACATACCATCAAATTCGTCAGTGTCTCCATAATGAATCCATACAAAATATCTGGGCTTAAATCCATTATGGTACAAATGAACCATAACCTTATCTGGTTCAAAAAATTTAAGCTCTTACAATGCACTACAAAGACACCTAACCAATCCATTATTCTTGCAAATGTCAAGTGTCATTGTTTGGTCAATAAAATTTCTAACACCGTCAATAAACTCAGATTTCAAACTAGCATCAATTTCATAATGCACATACTATACATCCACAAACGATGATCCATCTACAAAAATGTAGATATTCAATTAGTTTTGACTTAATTCCACCAACTAAATCACATTATTTATTTGAACTTATTTACACAACTTAAAAATTTTAACTACTTTAGTTTTGACTTAATTCCAACAACTAAAACACAAAAGTTATTTTAACTTATATACACAACTTAACAATTTTAACTAGTTTAATTTAAACTTAATTCCAACAATTAAATCCACCATCTAAACCAAATTATTTGTTTAAACTTATTTATACAACTTAACAATTTTAACTATTTTAGTTGTAACTTAATTTCAACAACTAAATCCACCAACTAAACCACATTATTCATTTCAACTTATTTACACAACTTAACAATTTTAACTAGTTTAGTTTTAACTTAATTTCAACAACTAAATCCACCAACTAAACCACATTATTTATTTTAACTTGTTTATAGAACTTAAGAACTTTTTAACTTTAAGTAGTTTAGTTTTGACTTAAATTCAACAACTAAATCCACCAACTAAATCACATTATTTTTTCTAACTTATTTAAACAACTTAAAAAATTTTAAATGAAGTTTAGTTTTAAAGCTAAGTGTGAACACTAGATGAACACAAATCGATTTTCAATAGGATCAGCTAGTTTTGGTGCTTATGCTAAATAAACAAATAATTCCTAAATTTAAAGCTAAGTGTCAACACTAGATGGACACAAATTGATCTTGCAAGAAAGTCTATTTTGTCATCAATAGAATCAACTAGTATTTTTAATTATGCTAAACAAACACATGATTCCTAAATTAAAGTCAAGTGTCAACACTAGATGAATACAAATCGATCTTGTTAGAAAATCATTTTTGTCATCAATAGGATCAACTAGTGTTGGTATTTATGTTAAAAAGTACTTATATTAAACAAACATATTATTCCTAAATTAAAGCTTAATAACAACACTAGATGGACACAAATCGATCTTGCAAGAAAATCAGTTTTTTCATCAATAGGATGTTGGTATTTATGCAAACAAACACTCAATTGACACAAAAAAAATTATCACAAAATTAAATCAAAGTATCAATACTAGATGGACACAAACACATTATTGAAAACAATTGTATTTGAACTTTTATAAATTTAGAAGCACCAATCTCATCTCTTACTTTGATGAAAGAAGCAATATAGTCTTGTATCAAGCTTTCTAGATGTTAAGTTTCCTCAGTTACCTAGCACGAGAAGTTCTAAAATTAGTTAAATATAATCTTCAAAACCAAGAATATATATATATATATATATATATATATATATATATATATTATAAGTGGGATGTCCTTTAGCTCAAAGTTGAATTACGAATTTGCCCTTCACTTGAACATTATTTGAATATATATAACATTATATAAAAATAAAAGCATAATATTTTCATTTTTAATGACCTGGAAAATAAATTCACACTTCAATTACCATAATTAGGATAATTGAAAAGACAACAGTTAAACTTACATTTAAATAATCATGAATAGGGTAAACGAAAAGACAATTGAAAGTAATAAAAAAATTCCAAGTGAATAATGACTTTCTTCAGGTAAATAAAGAAACTATGTTTATCTTTAAGTAAATCATTTCATTTTCATATACATTTCAAAAGGTATGGAAGATATAAGAACGTTATTTTAATTAAGAAATCAAAGACTTTAAGACAATCATGAAGAACGTATGAAGTGTGGTGTCTGCAGCGATTTCTCGACAGCGACAACGGTGATAAACTGATTTTGTGTTCCTAGAAATCTCATAGTCCTCCAGCATCCCCTGCCCTTCATCATTTTCCTTTTTTGAAACTGGAATGTTTCAAATTTTCGACACTATTTCTTTGTTGATGTTTTCTTCTAGCCCCCTCCCCACCCCTCCTCTTATTGTAGAATATGCCTCTTCTTAGATTTATATGTGATGCAATTTGAAGTGTTCTTGAAATTCAAGGTATATTGATTTATCTGTGTAACAACCCGCTAGCCGTTTTGAAAACTAGGACTATTTTGGCTCCTTGCAGAAAATTTAAAGGGGGATATTTTAACTATTCGGTAACTACGAGTACCTAATTGAGGAAAACTTTATTAAATTAGTATATAGTTAATAGTTAGTGGGTCATATCTATAATTCATTTAATACCTTTATACTTGACCATGTATTGGAATAAATTAGTGGGTTAAAATTTTTATATCATAATATGAGGAAAACAAAAATTGGAGAAGTTTCTCCTCGGCATCTGAGAAGAACACGTTCAGGTACAACCGCCCTTCTCAGAATCTGTAACTTTATATGAATTAGTTTATAATCTATTTTGGTATAAAATGATTTATTATATGTATTATATTGTTGGTGTTAGATTCGAGAAAATCTGTCAGTAGGGTTGAAATTGTTGTTGACAAATTTTCAATTTCTTTTGTTGTGCATTGTGTGTTAGTAAATGGTGGAGGGGGACAAATTTATTAGCCAATCATTAGGAAATTATGCCAATGATTGGAATTGATATGTATTATTATTAAAGGGATAGAAAATTGGTCGTACAAGATTGGAGAAAAGAAAGAAGATGGTCTCGTTCACTGTGCAATCCTTATTCTCTTAAATTTTTTTTTTTCTATTTATCAAATTTAGTTACTAGTTTTTAATATATCGAGATAGGTAATTAAATATTAGGTGTATATTATATTATTTAACATTGAATCTAGGCTATTTGGAGAGGTTAAGGTTAAGTTCTTGGCTTGAAATTTGACGAATTGGCATATAAATTATACCAAGATTTGGGCTTGATTGGAAATATGAGTGAGTTTTGGAGTTTAGATTAGAATATAAATTGAGTACCCATGAACTCGTTTACTTACGTATATTGCACAATGGATAGATTAGGAACGTTCCGAAGCTTTGCGAAAAGGAAAGGAAAAATCTTGAAGATTGGTGACACGAGTTCGACATTTAAGATATGTTAAGACTTTTTAGACTTGTTGAAAGACGTTTTCCTAATTAAAGAAGAAAAAAAGTAAAATGAAATAGACAATGGGTAAGGGCGAAAGATGGGGGTCTCATATCAATGGTGTGACGGGCATTGGTACGAGTACCGGTGTTATAAAAGGGAAAGTTACTACTATAGAATGTGGATTGTAATTTGAAAATGCCAAAGCATATGGGCATTAGCTGATGTATTATTGACTTGAAATCTTTGTGTGATTGTGTTTTCTTTGTTACACCCGTATAGTTGTGATTATTGAGGTGATTATGTATTATGTTGATACTTGATTGAATGAGGTGCATCATCATCCCCGTATTTGAAATAATAGTGTACATGCATTGACATGAGATTGAGTATAAGTTGGGCACGTGGAGATCATCCGTGCTGGGATGGTGAGATGTTAAGATCGTAATTTGGGCACGCAGAGACTGTCCGTGCGGAAATTGTTAATTTTATCATTGTGCATTGAGATCGTCCGCACAGACACGTGGAGATTGTCCGTGTCGGTATATGGACCTCGCGAGTCCCCCATGGGTCATGAACTCTCGATGTACTTCCGAGGAGTATCATGTTTATACGGTTGAGGAAGTATTGGATATTCTGAGACATATCATTCATGGCATCATATTGCATTGCATTTCATCACATCCTTCATTCTCGATGATTATGTGTTTTTATTTGATGGTAGTAATTTTCTTAATGTTTGATTTCCTCTATTTGATAAAACTTGACTGGCGAGTGAATTTTAGACTTGTATAATTAAAGAATTAATTTTTCTTATATAAACATCCGTCACTACTTCTTCGTTGTCGGTCAATGAGATATACTGGGTACACGTGGTTTCGTACTCATACTACACTTGTTGCACTCTTTGTGGTGCAAATTCGTTTCCGGGTACGAGCGCATCTCGTGGAGCATTTTGAGTCCGAACTTGGAGTGTGTTGGATTTGTGAGAGCTTCTTGTCTGTTCCGTGGCCCACACCTCCCTCTATCTTTTAATTATTCTGTTATTTAGTATTTCGACAGGATATCCCTTATGTTAGATTTGTCATTTTAGTTTCAGACTTGCATCGTATTTTAGAAGCTCTTGTACTTAAGACACCAATTCTTGGGTGGTATATTTTTTTAGCTTCCGCATTTCGTACTTATAAGGAACTCAATGTTGGAGATTCTTGCTAAGTGTTAGTCTTTTTACTCATTCGTTGGTTTAGTTGGGTTAATATGTTGGGTTGACTTACCTATTGGTTGGAATATAGGTGTCATCACGACTTGCAAATTTGGGTCGTGACAATCCGAGTATTTCTATAACGCAGTTTCAATCAGGATATTCACTGGGTTTTTTTCTTTCTCTATTTTATTGGTCTTTATTTGTTCCTTTTTATCCTTTTTACTTTTTTTTCTTAGTTTGTTTTTCATTTTTTAAAAGGAGAAATTTCAACAATAAATATGATGAAAGTATATAATTTACAGGTAATTGTAAAATAATTTTACCTTTAAGAATCACACATGGTATTTTTCGCAGCTATAATTTTTTTATACAATTTATTTATTCTCTTATTTTCATATATAGGCTTTTAAATTGTATACATCATCATTTCTCTTACAAGAGTCTTTCATTTTCCTATATAATTTTTGGGTGATTGAAGATTAAGATCTTAGTTAGAGAACATATTTTAATCTTAGTATGTCTTGGATATTATTTTCTCTTCAGTTTGAATTAGTAATATTTTTTCCTTCAAATTATATATGACTCATCACAAGCATGTTTATAATGTTATTATTGGTTCGTCTGCTTTTTTTTAAATTTATTTTATGTTTATTAAAAATTAAATTTGAAAACTAAAAGATATTAATTATTTTTACTATTTGAATAGAGTGATGATTTTTTCATAAATACTGAAACACCATATCATAAAAAAATCTAACACAAATAGTGTTATATTTCATGTAAATACAATAAACTATACTCATATATAGACCCATGGACTTATCACAAGTAATTTCATTCTCAAGACCATCATATCGTATTGTCGTTAAGTTTCGATGTTTATGTTCTTTATAGAAAATGCAAAATGTGTAATTGAAATTTATATTTCTGATAAATTTATCTCGCGCCTTTGTTATTTCATTAACATTTATTATTATTTTTCTATATGAATTCATAGACATATTTTACAGTCATAATTCACATATTTCTGGTTTGATAGCAAATTCACCATTCTATTTTATGATTTATTTTAATGAATAAAAAATAAATAGTAAAATTAATATTGTTAATTTCAATATCTATACCTTATAACTCACTTCTAAATAAATAAAAAATTGTAATGATAGTAGGGGAAAAACGTGCAACGCACGTTATCAGAAACTAGTTATATTATAAGTGGGAAGCCCCTTAGCACAAAGTTGAATTACGAATTTGCCCTTCACTTAAACATTATTTGAATATATATAATATTATATGAAAATAAAAGCATGATATTATAATTTTTAATTACCCAAAAAATAAATTCACATTTCAATTACAATAATTAGGATAATTGAAAATGATAATAGTCTGAAACTTACATTTAAATAACCATGAATAGGGTAAACGAAAAGGCAATTGAAAATAATAAATCTATTTCCAAGTGAATAATGAAATCATTTCAGCTTCATATACATTTCAAAAGGCATGGAAGGTATAAAAACACTATTTTAATTAAGAAACAGAAGACTCTAAGACAATCATATGAAGTGTGGTGCCTGCAGCGATTTCTCGACAACGACAACGGTGAGGAATTGATTTTGTGTTCCTAGAAATCTCATAGTCCTCCTCCATCCCCTGCCCTTCATCAATTTTCTTTTTCTGTAATCAGAAGGTTTTAAATTTTTAACAATATTTCTTTGTTATTCCTCTCTCTCTTATTGTAGAATATGCCTCTTTTTAAATTAATGATGCAATTTGAAGTGTTCTTGGAATTCAAGATATATAGATTTATCCGAGTATTTTTATAACATAGTTTCAGTCAGGATATTCAGTGGGTTTTTTTCCTTTCTCTATTTTATTAATCTTTATTTGTTCCTTTTACTCATTTTTATTTTTTTCCTTAGCTTGTTTTTCATTTTTAAAAAGGTGAAATTTCAAACAATAAATATGATGCAACTATATAATTTACAGGTAATAGTAAAATAATTTTACCTTTGAAAATAACACAAGGTATTTATCGCAGTTATAATTTTTTTATGCAATATATTTATCCTCTTATTTTTCACATATAAGCTTTTAAATTGTATAATCATCATTTCTCTTTGAGATTAAGAATTTAGTTACAGAACATATTTTAATCTTTCTATGTCTTAGATATTATTTTCTCTTTAGTTTGAATTTGTAATATTTTTTTCTTCAAATTATACATGACTCATCACAAACGTGTTTATAATGATATTGAATCGTCTGTTTTTACTTATTTTATTAATTTATTTTTTGTTTTGTTAAAAATTAAATTTGAAAACGAATACATATTTATTATTTTTTACTATTCGAATGAATGTTAAATTTTTCAGGAACACTGAAGCATCATATCATCAAAAAGTAACAGAAATAGTGCTATATTTTATATAAATACAATAAAATATACTCATATGTAGACCCGTACACTTATCACAAGTAATTGCACTTTCAAAGAAATCTTATTGTATTGTCGTTAAACTTCGATGTTTAGGTGCTTTATTGAAAAATAAGTCATTTGTTTGGTACATATTTTAGGATATTTTTGTAATAGTATGCGGAATATGTAATTGAAATTTATATTTCTGATAAAGTTGTCTCACGCCTTTGTTATTTCATTAAAGACATTAGATACATTTATTATTATTTTTCAATCAGGAATTCATAGACATTTTTTTTAAAAGCAATTCATAGACATATTTTACAGTCAGGTTTCATATATTTCTGGTTTAATAGCAAATGCACCATTCTATTTTATAAGTTATTTTAATGAATAAAAAATAATAAATAAAATAAATACTGTTAATTTCAATATTTTATATCTTATAACTCATTTAATAATAGTAAGAGACAAATGTGCAACACACGTTATCAGAAACTAGTATAGAAAATAAGCAATATGTCAGAAAAAACAATTGACACAAACTTTATGGTCAAACTAAAGTTGAAGTACGGGAATAAAATAGAAATAAAATAAAATAGAAAAAACGATTTTGTATTTGCATTACAGTTAATAACTGATTTATATAATGAAACAAAAAAAAAGTAGACTTTAAATTTATTATGTATGGAAAGTTTTTGCATTACGTTTGTATTAGAATGATTTTAAGTAACTAATCTTGAAATATAAAAGGAAAGTTTTTGCATTTACGTTTCCTAATTATTCTTAAATTTGGTTTCCATTTTTTAACTACCTTAACGTCATATAATATAAACAAACAAATATATTAGGCCTTTGGGCATCCATACAGTTCTTCGAAATTTTTTCTATATAGTTCGAGTGTGCTAATAATACGTCACGTACGTTAATCATATATCATTATTTAGAGCGATTGCCTAAAACTAATAAAGTTTGTTTCTACTCTCATCAATAGTTATGGCAATTGAATCTCCAGACGCTGAATTGGGAGTGAGATTTCGACCCATCGATGAACAACTCATTCGCTATTTGATTAAATTTGTTGTTTCTAAAAATTACGTTTGTAAAGATATTGAATTTGAAGAACTTTACGGAAGTAAGAAGCCATGGGAGTTATTGGAAGACTCATCCGATACTAAATATTTTTTTACTAAATTAAAGAAACGCGATACAAGGTTTAGTCGGACTTTGGTGGGAGGAGGAAGTTAGAGCAAAGGAAAACCGGTAGGTGCAAACAAAGCTGGGATCAAAAGAACTTACAACTAGGAAGAAAATAAAAAGAATGAAGTTCTTGGATCATGAAAGAGTATAGTCTTGACGACAAGGTAATAAAGTTGTTAAGTAATAGAGGTATGATGAAGCACAAGGATGTTGTTTTGTGGTACGTTAGGTGTAAAGTTAAAAAATTAAGAAATCAACTGTCAGTGGAAACGACGATGATGGTGATGATACACTACTACCCCAAGGGCCTAATGAATTTGGATATGGTGATCAATATCCTCAACAGATTGTGAAGCCAATGCAAAATATTGAATCAGGGTATGTTGGATGTGATGATGAGAATAGGAACGATATGACAACACAGCCGCAGTGGCCTATGGATGATCATCAACTTTCTCAGCTAATCGTCATGTTTCCAATGGTTCAAGGGAACGGTGCTGCAATGAATGAAGGAAATATGAATGGTGAATTCGCTTGTCAACATATCAGGAAGAGCAAGTACAGAATGTTGAAGAGACGGCAGGTAATGATTATTTAGTCGACCCAACAAACAACGACGAGTGTTTATTAGATGAATTAGGTGATTTTGATAAATTTATGGGACAAAACCAGCAATGGCTATCTGAGTTGCTCTCTTAGTCTAAACTTAATTAGTTGTATATTCAAGCTAATTAATTAGTTCCAATTCAAGTTCAAGTTCTAATTTCAAGTTCAAGTTCAAGTTCCAATTTCAAGTTCAACTCAGATCTAAGTTCAACTTCAAATCATATGTTCAAGTTCAAGTTCTAATTTCAATTTCATTCTAAATTCAAGTTCAAATTCTAATTTTAAATTCAAATTCTATTTTCAAGTTAAAGTACAAGTTCAACTTCAAAATATGCTTTGTTTGGTCTAATAAATTTATAATAAAGTCAAAATTAATTAAGGTCAATAAGATTTTCAAGTACTACAAAATTCTAATTAAGCTCAATTAAAATTCAAATTCTAATAGGAATAACAATAAAATTGAAATGAAAAAATAAATTATTATATCATGATCAAAATTAGGATAATAAATAAATAGGTCAAAATCAGTATTTCATTATAAAGAAATAATAAACGATAAATGACAATATTTTCTTTCATCTTTATTATTTTATTTTATAATGAAATAGTAATTTTGTGCTATTTATTCAAATTTAATCATGAAGCTAACATAAAAATAATTTATTCTCTTATGTCAATTTATTTATTGATAAATTTGGGTGAGTGATTTTATTGATATAAAAGTCTAAGTTGATTGATTTTATTGAGACAAAACAAAGTTTAATGATTTTACTAGACAAATTTCCAAAGTTGAGTGACCTTTTCAGATATTAACTCTTGAGATGACACTCATGAATTTCACAAGGGAAACTTTCACATATAGCAAACAAAAAATTCATATTTGTATGCTATAGCAAAGTTTGCATAATTGCGCTCCATAACAAACATATAAGTTTATAATTCGCTATACATATACAACTGTATATTTCGCTGGCCTAAATTGTATAATTCGCTGGCCTCGCTATTGTAACGACATGTTTAGTCGTTTTGAGCAGCAGATTTTATTTCTGGGAAAACAGGCTGAGACGACGGAACCCACGACGGACCGTCATGGGCATGACGGACCGTCGAGGGGTCTCGTTTCAAAACACTTAGAAATTCTAAAAAATGGGTACTAAAATCGACTCTCTGAACTTCGTAACGGAATAGCAGGACGGACCGTCACAGACTTGACGGACCGTCACAGACTCTTCAGAGAATTGAGTCTCTGAACTCTGTGATGGAGCAGCAGGACGGACCGCCGCAGGCACGACGGCCCGTCACAGACTACGTAATCCCAGGCGGAGTCGGATTTCTTTAATGTTTTAAGGGACGTTTTTGACTATTCCGGCTTATAATTATAAAGTTAGTGGTTTAATATTAATAACTCAATTACTTGGAGGCTAAAAGAGGTAACCTTGAGTAAATTAGTGAGTTATTATTGCCATCTTTTATTCTTAATTATATGCTAATTAGGGTAAAAGAAAGAGGGTTTGAATAAGAAAAAGAAAAGAATAGAAAGAGAGAGAGAGGGGATCAAACGAGAAAGAGGAGAAACGAGAAGAAGAACAAAGCTTTGGGAACTTGCTTGCTTGATTTCTAATCATCGGTGGAGGTAGGTTATGGTTTTTATACTATTCGTAGTTAACTCTTAATAGCGAATGATATGTGTTGGGTTGTATTGTAAAGTCTTCTATATGCTTAATTGTATGCTTGCATGAATATGATTATATAATTGTGATGAAATAAGCATGATGAAGTTATTGAATCCCAAATCTTGAAAACTCCAATCTTGAAAACCCCTTGTTAATGATGATGCCTTAGTATAAAAGAAGGTTTGATGAACTAAAGTAATGAGATTGATGATGCCTTGGTATAAAAGAAGGCTTGATGAACTAAAGTAATGAGATTGATGATGCCTTGGTATAAAAGAAGGCTTGATGAATTAATAGAATGAGATTAGTGGAGCGGGTGTCACGAACCGACACGTAGAATTAGGGGATCGAGTGTCATGAACCGACACGTAGAATTAGGGGATCGGGTTTCACGAACCGACACGTAGAATTAGGGGATCGGGTGTCACGAACCGACACGTAGAATTAGGGGATCGGGTGTCACGAACTGACACGTAGAACTAGGGGATCGGAGTATCACGTTCCGACACATAGTAGTAGGGGAGCAGAGTGTCACGTACCGACACAAGAATAAAGGTGATGAATCTTGAAAGATGTTAATATACTTCAATCTAATGAACCTAATTCCCAAATGAGTATGGTATTGAGGCTTGAGTCCTCATGTGTGAACTTGGCGGTACTTATTAACGATCATAGTACTTGTTGTTGCTGCATGTTGAGTAATGTAGTTGATTTTATATTATTACTTGATATATATTGTCTTCTATTTTGAGTTGGCCGATGATATCTACTCAGTACCCGTATTTTGTACTGACCCCTACTTGTATGTTTTCTTTTTGATTATTTGTGGAGTGCAGCAAACGTGCCGTCGTCTTCAACTCAACCGCAACTCTAGCCAGTCTTCATTACTCCGGATTTCAGGGTGAGCTAATGCTTCTAGCTTGGACTAGATCTTCTTCTTCATGTCTCGATGCCTTGAAGTTCCGGCATGGACTAGCATTTTTGTTTATTCTAGCTTTCCAGATACTCTTAGCTTTAGTAATTTGAAGTAGATATTCTTGTGATGATGACTACCAGATTTTGGGGATAATAATAAATGTTTGAGTTTTAGAAGTTATTTGATTTATTTTGTTAATGAGTTATTAAGTCTTCCGCAATGTATTTAGTTCATTTTGTTTGAAATGATGGGGTTTAGATTGGTTGGTTCGCTCACATAGGAGGACAAATGTGGGTGCCAGTCGCGGCCCGATTTGGGTCGTGATAAACTTGGTATCAGAGCATTAGGTTCGTTGGTCTCACCACACAAGAACGAGTCAAGTAGAGTCTTAAGGAACGGTAGGGGGACGCCTTTACTTTTCGTTGAGAGGCTATAAGACTTTAGGAAAAATTCCATTCTTTCTTTCTTTCGTGCTATTACTTGGGTTCAATTGGTATTTAGGTGATACAAATTGGTATCTGACCATCTTCACTCTATTTCGCAGATGAATAGAACTAGAGCAACAACCGCGCCAACACCAGCACCACGCAAATCGAGTTGCAAATGGCCCAATTATCTGCGACTATGAACACTCGGAAACTGGGCACTCTTCCTAGAAACACTGTCCAAAATCTGAAAAATGATGCACACTGTATGGCAATCACTACTCGTGGTGGTAAGCAAACCATTGACCCACCTATGCCGTCTAATGAGTAAAAAGTGAGACAGGATGATGAAAAGGTGGTAAAGGGTAGTGGTGAAGCAAAAGAGAGTAGTGGAAAAGATGCAGAATTCCCTACGAAGGTAATTCACATGCCTAGACCACCACCACCCTTCTCTCAGAGATTAGTGAAAAAGACCGAGGATGGTAAATATAAGTGTTTTATAACAATGCTGAAGCAGCTTTCTATCAATGTACCTTTGGTAGAAGCTCATGAACAAATGCCCGGTTATGCCAAGTTTATGAAAGATCTGGTTACAAAGAAAAGATCGGTCACTTTCGAGGATGATGATAGACTGCAGCATTGTAATGCTATTACTACAAGATCTCTCGTACAAAAGAAAGAAGATCAGGGTGCGTTCACTATTCCTTGTACAGTCGGGTCATTACATTTTGCGAAAGCATTATGTGATCTGGGGGGAAAGCATAAATCTCATGCCCCTCTCGATTTACAAGAAGTTGGATTTGGGTGACCCAAAACCCACTGCGATGCAGCTACTGATGGCTGATTGAACAGTGAAAAGGCCTATAGGAATACTCCATGATGTGCTAGTAAAAGTGGAGTCATTCATATTTCCGGCAGATTTTGTTATTCTTGATTATGAAGTCGATTTTGAAGTGCCTATTATTCTTGGGAGGTCATTCCTTGCTACAGGTAGAGCCTTAGTTGATATGAAAAAGGGGCAGATGAAATTTCGGTTGAACGATGAAGAAACGACCTTCAACGTTTGTAAGACCATGAGGAAAGTGGTGAGATCCAATCGGTATCCGTCATATCCCACAAAGAAAAGATGAAGAAGGAGAATGAACAAAAAAGTGCAAAACAAGAGTTTATGGTTGGGGATTTGGTTCTTTTAGACAGATCTGGGTTGCCTTGTCTTCCGGGCAAGCTCAAGTCCAAACGGACTGGCCCTTACTTGATCACCCAAGTATTCCCTCATGGAGCAGTTGAGTTAAAAACCAAGGAGGGAGTGCGGTTTAAGGTGAATAGAGAACGAATAAAACTCTATTTTGGGCATACTGCATCGGTGAATGAAATGATAGAGGCATACCATCTTGATGAAGGCTGAGTAATCAAGTGTCCTCAGTCGTGCCGCGACGTTAAATCAGGCGCTTGTTGGGAGGCAACCCAATACTTAGAGTGTTTTTTTCTTTCTTTCTAGTAGTGGTAGCATTTTCTACTAATGGGTTTTAAATTTGCAGACACATCACCAGAAAATTCTGCAGAAAATCACTCTGCAACAGTCACCAACGGACACATGCGACGAACCGTCAAGACCGTCGTTCTCTCGACGGTCCGTCCTGCACAATTGTTCTGGTTGTTAGAGACCCTATTCCTAAAGGTCTTTCCCATTTTCTAAGTGTCCTCCAACGGACATCTACGACGGACCGTCATACTCTCGACGGTCCGTCCTACATAACCGGCATGACGGTCAAAGACCCTTCTCTTAAGGGTCTCCATTTTTTTAAGTGTCCCACGACGGACCGTCATAATCACAACGGTCCGTGCTGATTGTCGGCGCTTTGCGCCCCAGGTTTGCTTCACCTACCACTCTTGTATATCAAATTTTTTTTATGCATTGGGGACAATTGCATGTCTTTTTGTTGGGGTGGGGTGAATGGAAAGTGAGTACTAGGGTGAAGTCTGAGTAGCCCAATTTACTATCCTCTTTTGGGGTTTTCTTGCCTGTGTTCTTTTTCCCCAAGAGACTGATTACTTTTTCTGTTGAACCGGCATATCTACATCTTGTGTACATAGTTTAATTCTGGAGCATGATGACTAAATTGATATCCTGATAAAATGGAAAATGATGCATGACTAGGCATAGTAATTGATAAATGTGTGGCTCTAAGCATGACATAGAGGTACACCACTGCATGACCCTAAGTCTAAAATTTGAACTATGTGTCTAATAATCTGGTAGAGTGATGAGATGTCAAGTGAGTGTGAGAAAGATTTGAATAGTCCACTATTTGTACTGAGCTAGAACTTGTCTGGTTAGTCCTGCTAAAAGTAAACTGTAATAGACAATCATGAAAAGATCATAGGTCATTATTCAATATAGCCCATTTTTAGCCAAAATAAAAGAAAACCAAATGAAATTTATTCTTCTTTGATCCAAATGATTTGAGCTTAAATTAGACCTTTCTTTCTCACCCCAACTGATCTTTTCTGGGAATAATGTGTTGGCCCTGGTCACTCCTTGAACATGTGCATCTCAGCTTATGCCAAAAGCATAAGTTGAGGGTGGCTAATGAAGTAAACAACATTTTTATGGCCCTGACCCAACTTTGGGTATTGTGTACTTTGACTCATGGCAAAGCCATGAGTTGAGGGTGACTATTATGAGGAATGCTCTGGAAAGTGGGATTGAAGAATAAAAAGAGAGAGAAAACAAAAGTAAGTGACTCAAAAATTAATTAAAAGAAAAGTAAAAATGAAAAAAAATATACAAGCAAGAAAAGAAGAGAGTCACTTACACAAATGAACAAAAAAGGAAAATAACAAGGTGAAAGAATGTGGGAAACTAGGCAAAATAAAATGATAGAAAATGGTATGTTTAGGCGATATGTCAAGGAGGGCAAAAAGTCACTAAAGTATACCTAAATATATCCTACCTGACCCTAAGCCTATGTTACAAGCTAAGAAAGTTCTATTGTGATCCTAAGGGTTGTATAACGAACTTAAAGCAGTGAAAATAAGGGCAAGCTTATGGAAATAGGTATGAATGAGTGTAAATTTGTTCAAAGAGTGAGTGCTGAAAAGTAATCCTTATACTCAAACTGAAATCATTGTGTGAAAAATGAGGATTTTGTTTTGAAGTGAGAACACTAGTTGCATTACCGGAAATATTACCACCTCGGTGAGAAATTGAAGAGGATAGGTGTTAGTGCATGTTGAGTCTGTGTCATGGACTGATTCCACATAATTCAAGTCTAATAGTGATAGCATGCATAAATATGATGAGATTAATCGGGATTGATAGCCAAATGATTGCAAAGGATAAAACATGGATACGATTGTACAAAGATGTTGTATTGAGTCATAGTGTGTCGCTGTAGGACAAACAACGAATTTAAGTTGAGGGTGTTGATATACCGTGGTATCACGGTATTATTAATACTTTTTCCTTAAGTTTAGAGTGTCCAAAAGCCTTTTTATGCTAATTTTTATATAAGTTTCTCTTTATTTGCAGGAAATATGTCCTAAGATGAATGCGGAGATTTGAGCGAAGAAAATGCAGAAGAGACCACCTACGGAGCTTGTGACGGTCCGTCATGCTTGTAACGGTCCGTAGGTGGCAGCGTAGTGCAGCTGCTGAAGGAAGATGGAGAAGTCTAACCAAGTGTGGAGTTACGGAGTCTATGACGGTCCGTCGTGTCTACGACGGTCCGTCCTGTAGGTTCGTCATGAAGTTCAGAGAAGTAATCCCAGTACCCATATTCCAAGAGTTTAAGTGATTTGGAATGAAGACCCTCGACGGACCGTCGTATCTGTGACGATCCGTCATACTTGTCGTTGAGGGTAATGAAGAGAGCAGCAGAAGAAATTGCACAAGTATGGGACAGTCCATGACGGTCCGTCGTGACCACGGCGATCCGTCGACCCAGCCGCGTTTTGACAGATTTCCAGCAAATAGAGTCCTTGTTTAATTAGGTTTTTATTTTCTATAAATAGTTCAAAAAACCTCATTTTAAAGGTTAGAGTAGTTAGACTCTGGATTATTTGGTTAGGCTTTTGATTATCATTCGACTTTTTGTGAGATTCTTGATACTTTGAGATTCTTGCAAGTGATTGTTGGTGATTTTTGTTGATTAATCAAGCAAACTTTCGAATTTTACTCTTTCTCATTGAAGTAAGTATATGAATTCTTATATAATATATTTGAATATTGTGATTATAACTATGGGTAACTAAACTCCATAATTAGGGTTGTGGGAACCATAGGCAAATAATGAGGTAAAACCTAACTAAAATAACAAGTGTCTTGCATGTATTAATAATTATTTCGCTTAGAAGTCTTTTTAACGGATGGCCAACGTTAGAACTCGCCTTAATGCTACTTGCCGGACCAAGGAGGTAGATAATAGGAAAAAAATTATCAACATAAATTTAGTGTATACTATCTAATAGGCTAGTATTGATTGGTACGAGGTAATAACTTAGTCAAATATCGAATACGATGCTTAATATGAGGTAAATATAAGGGTTAGGATAGCATCACACGTAGCCGGACCAAGGTACGGAGTGAAATTTTCCACATGCCGAACCAAGGATTTAGAAATAAATAACTTATCAGTTTGCATGCAAGATACTAGAAAAGAATTGTTATAGTTAGAATTATCATGTTATGAACCTGTGGAGAACACGTAAACCCTAGTTACTTGACCCGACCGTTTTACTTCTTATTTGAGAAGTAAGTTTGAGCGCATTTAACATTAGCGGATTAATAAATTGGCTGCATTGTGTGCTCATTTATCAATAAATTAAAGATAAAATTACGTGAGATGTTAAATTATACTAAGTAATTAATTAATAAGCGTATAGTTTAACTTATTTACTCTCAGTGATTATAATTTCATTTTTTTGTCATAATTAATGGGACCCACCACCTATTTATATACCAGTAAAAGACTTATTTATGATTTTCTATATATAGTTTTATACAAAATTATATCGCTCATATCCCCATTACATTTCTTTCCCCTAAAATCACTCCTCAACTCTATTTGAATTTCAAATTTAGGAAGATTTCACATTCTCCTTTCCATCTTGCTCTCAATTTTTGCACCTAATCGCCAAAATCAACCCATGAATCTATTTTTTAAAAAAGAAATCCTTCATCAGCAATTGTATATGTATTATACTTCTTAGTTTTTCAATATTTTTTTTATATTTTTTTTTTTAAATTACAAGTTCTTCAAAATCAGAATGGAAGATTCATCTCCATCCATAAAAATTGCTTGCTTGAATATTGTATATATAGTTGTTTGTACATCAAATTATTATATATAAAATTGATCAAGGTATTTGTGTTGTTATATTCATATTTTAAGTTTTTGTATATTCAACTAGTTATATATGTATATAAGTAATTACTTTAAAAATTGATGCAATTATTTATTTTAAATCATAAAACTTTTGTATTTTACGTTATTATATACAAAGCTGCTTGAGGGATTTGTGTATTTACAAGTATATGTATATAATAATTACTTTACAATTTGATATAAATCAAATAATTTATATTCATTTTATTTACATTCGTATATAACTTTGTTTATACATATACAATTTTTTGTATATTATTATATTCATTTTATTTACATTCATATTTAAACTTTTCTTTTTATACATATGCAATTTTTTTGTATGTTCAAGTAGTTATTTATGTATATAAGTAATCACTTTTAAAATTTTGGTATAACACAAGTGAGATACACAAGAGATTACATTAACTATAGATAAGACAACCAAAAGCATAACCGAACAGTGGGGATGTGGAACTATACCGCTAATGCACCCAAAATAATGATAAAACTATTTCGAACAAAATGGAACTAAACTATTTTGAACAAAACGGAACAGTGAAGGAACAAGGACTACAAAGCTAGCATTCTCAAACCAAAAATCAAATAAATATCAAACTATTCTAGAAAAAAAAAAAGAATGAGTCAAGGATTTAACTAGTTATAAGGTACTCTGTAAAACCAACAGACCCAAAATATTGACATTTTAATCACCCACATGGACTTCATCAATGACTACCTATGGTTATTTCTCATAATTCAGAAGAAAGTTATACGTTGAAGAAGAAATAAGAAGAGGATATTACCTTTTCTAGTGCAGCGACGGGGACGACGACGAGTGAGAAATTGACTTTCACCACCGACTTTAGACTTCAGAAATTCGACAAGTTTCAAACAAACAATGAACAAACAAAGAAAGCGTATATCTAAATCGCATATCTTATATGAGTGATGTAATTAACTGATTCTCTCTCTGCAACTATTTGCTAAGAAATTCCAACTCTATCTTCCAACCTTTTTGGCTAAGCGAACAATCAGTTCCCAAATAAAGAACTCTCCCACAAAGACCAGAGTAAGCGATCTTATATACTAGAAATTTAAGGTTGATTCTGGGGAAAAAAGCCCTAGAAATTTAGGGTTGATTCTGGGGGGAAAAAGCGGAGGGTAAAAACGAAAATACCAATCCCTTTTCACAATTCAAAAACCCCAAGGACAAAGGGAAAGCTGGGGGTACGAAAATCAAACACAAAATCCCCAAAAATCCGGCTGGACAGACCAAATGGACGACAGGGATTGATCGAGCGTCCTTGCTTGGTGACATGTCATCATGTTGCTAGAGAGGACACAATAGCAGCTAGAATCGCAGAAAAAACTATGTAAAATTGTACCAGACTGAAGATGGAGACGTTGAGAGTCGCTTTCCATCTATTGACGATGCTTCCGTGAAATCATCGCCGCGTGAGGCGCGTTAAAAGTTGAAGTGTCATCCACGCGTGCTTCCCGTTTTAACTTTTTACGCCGTGTATTTGTTAGTTGTTGCTCCTTGAGTAAAGGATGGTGGGTCCGGTCTGGGAATTTTTGGGCTGGATAATCGGTAATTGGGTTGAAGATAAAAGAAATAGGAAAAAATGGGCTTGGGTTTAGAAACAAGAGAACTGGGCTGCTGAAAAAGGAATTTGGTTGGGGCGATTTTGGAATTGAAGAAAGAGTGGGCTGAATTGTTGAAAAGCAAATTGGGCCACGGAAGTGGGCTCCAATTTAACCAAATTAGAATGTAATTGGCCAAATTGATTAAATTTTGAAAAATAATACGAATTAGTAATTAATTAATAAGGTTAAAAAAAATAAAATAATTGATATGAATATAAACTAATAATTTAAAATATAAGCTGAAGTACTTAGACAAATATTTATATAAAACAAAGAATTACTCTCAATGTTATTTTTCGATCTAGAATATTAACAAAATTGAAATAGGTATATGAATAATTACGTTACACATATACATTAGCTAAACAATATAAAAAGTCAAAATCTTATTTAAAATAATTTGCAAGCTAAAATTTTATTTAATACTATTATTTTATTTTATTTATATATATATACTAATCTAATTAATTATTTTAAAATTATTTAAACTCGAGAAGCTTGCTAGTTAATTATTATCGAGGAGTGTCAAAATTTGGGTGTCAACATTCATTTTGCAGTTTATTTGGTTGATTTGTTACTGTTGGATTAATAATTTAATTCATTATTAATACAAGTTTAATTCACTCTTAGATCAATGCATGTTCTTTCATTAGTTGCATTTTTCATCATTCATTCTTATTTCTCTCTTCTAGTTCAACTCTAATATTGTGTAATACACTTTTAATGCAAATTTAATTGATTTTGCAGTTTATTTGGTTAATTTGTTACTATTAAATTATTTGTTTAATTCATTATTGATACAAGTTTAATTCTTTCTATAGTTCGATGTATGTTATTTCATAAGTTATGTTTTTTATTCATACTTGATTCTCTTCTAATTCAACTTTAATATTTGTGTAATACACTTTTCGTACAAGTTTAATTTATTTTGCAGTTTATTAGTTGATTTGTTATGATTGGATTACTTGTTTAGTTCATTATTGATGCAAGTTTTACTTAGTTTATTGTTTTTTTATTGCTACATTTCACATTCATGTTTAATTCTCTTCTAATTCAACTTCAATATGTGTGTTATATATTTTAAATTCAGGATTAATTTATTTTCCAACATTTTAAATTTAAGTTTAATTTATTTTGCAGTTTATTAAGTCACTTCATTTGTTACGATTAAATTATTTATCTAATTAATTATTGATACAACTTTTATTCAGTCTTCGAATTATTGACTACTCTATGAAAGAAAGTAGAGAGAAAGAAAGGAAAAAAGAGCAACTAAAGGAGAAGAAAAAATGAATCAGAAAGCAAGGGAGAAAGAACATAAAATGAAAGCAAGGGTGAAAGAGAATAAAAGGAAAACAAGGGAGAGATAACAATAGAAATAAAGAAAAAGAGAATGAGCGACAAAAACAGGTGAGAGAAAAGGGATAAAGAGGCGAGAGACAGAGATATTTCTAATAATTTTTATAGTATTGTTATATATTGCTATAAATAGTAATAATCAAATAGTATATTTAAAATAAGTAATTATTTTTTAAAAGGAATCCACTCGTGTAATTAATCCTTATAATAAAAGAAGGGTCAGAGAGGATCAAGTTATTGTCAACTGAGTTGGCTTTATCACAGGTAAGTTGCATTGTTCTTCCTTCATTTTAAGCTTTTCAGATTTGAGGATTACATTTTTAATGTCTCAACTTCTATGTTTACTACACAATCACACTTTTACCATTAAACTATATATACCTGCTACAATTTCATAATATTAGTTTACAAATGCAAGTCTTATCAAACAAAAGATAAAGTCATCAAAATGACTAAAATCATAACATAAAAACGCATACATAGATATACATGTACAACTGAATATTTCACTTTGAACTTAAATTCATTGTCCCTCTTCTTCTGCAAGTACTTCTTCTTAAGCTCTCACTAAACATCGGAAAATAGATAAGATGCAGCAAAACGTAAATAATGCAAGATGTAAATAACGCATCCACAAATGATTTTTTACTATATATATAACATCTATGTGTGTGTATATATATATATATATAACCTTTAAACGATGTGTGTGAGAGAGAATGTCTCTGTAGACTGAATATGTCTGCTGAAGTTAAGTCATTTAAGCTGATTTCTTTTTTTTATTGGTTTAGATTATATTCGAGAAAATGAAAAGAACAAGTAATGGAGAAAATATAAAGACATTTTAAAGTCATATTGCATTGTCCACTGTGGGCTCCAGTTATGTTAACTAACATGCCACCCTTTTTAACTATTGAAACTTCTAAAGTTAGTAATATATTTTACAATGTTATGCCTTCAACATTGAGATACAAGTTTTAAACAATAATATTTAATCCAAATAAAAATATAATTTTTAAACATTGAATTCAAAATCAAACTTGTAGGCTTTTTAATATCAATTGTGGAGAGTCAATTATTGATATAGATGAAAAAATGATAATTAAACATATATTTTTTATTGATTAACATACATATATCATTTGCTAACGAACAATTCGGTAAATGTGGATGTGAGGGAGTATAATAAATAAGAAGTATGAAAAAAATCATATCATATATTATTATAAGTGGAAAGATCCAAAATGAAAAATTAAATTATCATGTTATCTCTACACTAAATATAAATTCAATTAAATATCACAACAAATAATAATATTTTAATGAAAAAATTGTATATAATAGCAAACTAATAACCTAAAATAAATGGAGTAACTAGGGTTTGATTTAATTGTGTTCCATAGCAAACGTTTGCAAAAAAAATTGTCAGGCGCCTCTTTCCCAAATATCTCGCTCCTCACTCTCTTCCAATCTCTCACTCGCTTCCACTTTTTATACAAACACAAGTGTATAAAAATTGTTTCTAATTGTATAAAGCAGAGAAAATTGTATAAATACATATATTTTTTAACCCCTCTCTCCCCTTTTTCAGATCTCGCTCGCCACTCTCCCAAACCTCGCTCGCCACCATCGCCCTCACTTATACAAACAGAAGCGAAATGTATAAATTGTGTTTCTGTTTGTATAAAGCGTGAGAAAATTGTATATACACATACAAGTACATATATTTTCGTCCTATAAACTTATAATTATACAATAAAAATACTTCCCTGCCCAGTTTCTTTTGTCTTTCTCTTTTTCTCGTTTTATACAATTTTCAAATTGTATCTAATTTCTCTATTTCTCGTTTTATACAATTCGATTCAATTGTATATTCCTTGTCAAGTCTCTTTTGTCTTTCTCTCTTTCTCATTTTATACAAATTCAAATTGTATATAATCGTTCTATACACTTATAATAATACAATTCGTTTTATACACTTTGTTTTTATAGAATTCTCTGCCCAAGTGTCTTTTTCTTTCTTGTTTTATACACTTCCTTTATACAATTTGGTTCAATTTCATATGTATAGCGAATTATACGGTTTCTATGTTTGCTTTGGGGCGCAATTATGCAAACTTTGCTATAGCATACAAATATGAATTTTTTATTTGCTATATGTGAAAGTTGCCCTATTTAAATTAGGAAAAATTATATAAATATACTATAATAAAAAAATATTTACCATTTATAGCAGTAATATTTTTTTCACTTGATCAGTTTTAATTCAATTATAATACAAGTTTAGTATATATTACAAAGAACAATTTATTATTTACATATAAGACAAGTTTTAGGATAAATAATACATTTATCACACATTTTAATACATTTATAATACAACGGTCATTTTTACCAAACAAACATAATATATTTCAAAAAACAATTATAATTCATCTATATTGCATACGTAATTCACTTTTTATTCATATTGCAAATTTTACATGATATTACTATAAATAGTAATAAATAAAAAGTATCGCTAAAATCAATAATTATTTATTATAATGTACCAATTTATGTAATTCTTCCTTTTAATTATATAAAGATAACCTTAAAAGCCCAATAACGATAATTTTAAAGGGCAACTTTCACATATAGCAAACAAAAAATTCATATTTGTATGTTATAACAAACTTTGCATAATTGCGCTCCATAACAAACATAAAACTGTATAATTTGCTATACATATACAATTGTATAATTCGCTGGCCTAAATTGTATAATTTTCGCTGGCCTATTTCGCTGCAATTGTATATTTGTTTTGCATACAGTTGAATCGAATTAAAATGTATGTATATTGCATAATTATAAGTGTATAGAAAAAAGATATATGTTT